CCTAGGCAATGTCTTTTACTTTTCATTTCTTCTGCAGTGTCGCAATATAATTTTTGATAGATGTGCAGATTTGCAGTACATGTACGAAAAATTATCTAATGCGAAAATATATTTCAGGGCAGCTCTCTAATTTAACACAATCTTCAATTACGGAGGTTGCGGGACCCCTAAACTTGCCCTACATTCATTAAAATATTGTTGCAGTCTTTAAACTGGAAAGATTGTTGCAATCTTTAAACTAGAAAGAATGCCCTAGAAGTGATTCGTTTTTATTTCCTCCTAACCATCATCATGACCGACTGTTTATGCTTCCCATAGTCTATATATCAGTCTCGTTAGATAAACAGCCTGAGAACTCATAAAGATTGTGAAATTTCACTCCGCCCCTTTGGCAATGTCATCTTCAAAGCTTTCTGTGACAGGAAGCTAAGAGCAGATTGCTCTGGATAGTTTCTTGTATTAAAAATCGAATGTTTGTCTCACAGAAATCATTCTTTATAATCTATTATTTTATTACAGCGAGGTGTACAATTATTTTTTCCTCTTAAAAAAAGAAAAAAAGAAAAAAAAAAAAAAAAAACTTCTTATATAGACACCACATGACTTTGTACGGCCTGTTAAATATTTTTTTTTTTCCCCGATCAGCAATAAACTTATATTAAAAGATACCGTTGGATATTTATAACAATAAAAATGATACTAAATATTGTTAGACTAACAACACACATAAATTGTTATTATGTACAAGGTGATTCTAAATTGTTTTTACAAATTAAGAGGGGTGATAGTACCCATCCAGACGAGCAATAACTACCATACAACAGGGTTTCTTAAACCAAGGGGGTCACCGAAAATTTTAGCAGTTTTGCTATTTTTTTTTAAGTTATTATAATAATTTTAGAATTACCAAATATTTTTACACAATGTATCTGAAAATGGATAAAGATAAGACAATACAGACAAAGAAAAGAAAAAAGAAAAAAGTTTCGATGCATTCTTTTTATAGTATAAACTTTCATTTTCCTTGCTTTGCACGTGACGCTGTCATTTCATCTGCTACTTATTTAAAATTTTCATATTGTTCTAAGTCTTAAAATTAGAAATTAAAGTTAATGACCAAAAACTGCAATATTATATTACAGTACAAGTGAAAAAAATTAACAATTTCACTAACGTGTGTCGGATTTGCGAAATGCATAAGGGGTCCTCCCAAATTTTTGTAAATATTATGGGGTCCTGGGGGTCGCGAAAAAAATCTTAATTATAAAAAGGTGTCGCGACTGAAAAAATTTTAAGAAGATAGGGTAGCATTCCACTCTGAGAGGCAGAAAAGAGTAAATTAGAATTCCAGAGAATTAGAATTCCAACCTGAACCTACAACAGTGTTGGGAAAGCGAATGAACGAGCTTAAAGTTGCGCAACCAGATTTATTGTTTAGCGAAAAACTCACAGAATTTGCTCAAAATGCCGACAACTCGCTCTTCCATTTCTGGCATTCGTACATTTTGGAATGTCCTCCATTGCATTTTGAGATGGCAAAAAAACTGGTTTCTCGCAATCTTTCCATCAGCACTAGAAAATGTTGCATGACTTGGAATCCGACCACTGCTCCAACTCCAACTTGCTTTATTTGCCGCGATTAACCTGCGAAATCGCAGGTTGTGTTCCGTCTATCGAACTTTGGTGCTTCTAGGAGCACTGCAGGTAAGGAAATGCCGAACGTAGTTCTCGTGGAGACAGGATAGCAGATGCAGGGGGTGTGACCAATGTCACGTGATGAGCGATAAGACATCTGGTTGGCGATGAGGTATCCAGGCATCGTAGCGCTGTAAATCTGAAGTTTTACAATAGTTATACATAAAATAGTACTAATTCAGTTCATAAAAGGTGTGTGTTGCAGTCATAAATGCAGAAAATAAAATACGATTCCAAAAAGTAAAATAGTATATACAGGAAAAATATAAGTAATATCTTGTGGGCATGGCTGTGTGTGTCACATGATCATCCGGCTAAGATTTCTAAACATCATTATTTACAAGTCAAATAAGTTTTTCAGAGTACTACATACTTAAAAACACAAATTATGTTGGAAAATCCTGGTTTCCACTGAGTAGAAAAGCGGCATATGGACGGAGGTGCCTGTCCTCGTGTAAAATTTCATAGTGAAATAGGTTGAAAATGTCCATATGTTGGCACTCCTTAGCGGCGTCATAAAATGCCGTGTTAGTTCTTAAATATTCCACTATTGTATCCATTTTTAAATCTTCATGGAGACGTTTGTTCTTCACATACGGGTGTGCATTTGTGATAATTCTTAAAAATTGGTTTTGCACAACTTGTAATTTTTTGTATTTCACCCTTCGTAGCGGTAGTCCATGCTGGCGAAGCGTACGTCATGATGGGTCGGATTGTGGCTAGATAAATAAGTCGTTTCTTGTCCAACGAAAGTTTTGAATATTTCCCTATCATAGGATATAAACATTTCATGACTTTAATCGCTTTATCCCTGATTTGTTGGATGTGATGCTGCCATGTGAGCTTGTCGTTGATGGTGATGCCCAGATATTTGGCTTGTTTCACGATAGGCACAGCCTCGTTAAAAAGATAAACACTTTGCCTGATCGGAACATTTTTCTTCCTTTTCCTTATGAGTAGGAGCTGCGATTTTTGAGCGTTAATTCGTATCTTCCAATATCCACACCATTGTTCTATGGAGGGAATAGTGTCTTGGAGTTTCCGAATAGCATGATTGATGTTAGCAGACTTCACTGCCAGGGCAGTGTCGTCTGCATAATAGCATAGAATTATGATTTAAATGCAATCTCGGAAAGTCTGAAACGTAGAATAGATAGAGTATAGGGCCAGTCACAGAACCCTGTGGAACACCGCTAGTCATTATTTTAGTGCTGGATAATTCATTTTTTACCGAGACTATGAATGTCCGATCCCTGATAAGGAATGGATTAGCAGAATGAGTTCTCTGTCCAGTTGAAGGTCAATTAATTTAGCAATTAAGCCCTCATGCCAGACGCGGTCGAATGCTTTCGTCACGTCTAGCATGAGTATAGCAACATTAAGTTTGCAGTGCAGAGCTGCACCAGCGAATTCGGTTATTCGGACAAGTTGCTTCGTTGTTGAGAGGTGAGCACGGAACCCAAATTGTTCCGGCGGAAGATGCTGAAAATATGGTTTCAGTCTATTCAGGATAATTCTCTCAAAAATTTTGCTTAAGCCCGGCAGTAGACTAATAGGACGATATCCGTCTGGTCGGGTGTGATCTTTAGCCGGTTTAGGTAGTAAAATAATTTTAGCAATTTTCCAAGGTGTTGGAAAGTAAGAAAGAGCAAGACAAGCATTAAAATACTTGTCAGGCTGCAGATGATGTTAGGCGGCAAATTTTTAATTGCTGTATTGCTGATTTCATCAATTCCTTGGAGATTTCTTTTGTCTCAGGTGTTTGATAATATTAGTCGTTTCAGTAGGAGTGGCATATTTAATTGGAAGTCTGACTGAAGGGGCGTTGAGCCAATCCCTCACTCGTAGGAGGGTCTTTAATTCGAAATCAGAGTCATTTGACCAATCATTTGGCGAGAACTGTTCTTGGAGGTGTGCTGCGAAGATTTCTGCCTTTTCCTGATTGGAGATGGCAATATTACCTCTGTCATAGAGGGGTCGATTACTTGTGAAGGAAGTTTTAAAATTTTTGATTAAAGACCAGAATGTACCTTCTCTAGAATCCAGATTTAACATTTTATCATCCCATAGTTCTTCTTTGAAGGTTTTAATGGCCTTCTGAATTTGCTTATTTTTACGATTTATTTCACGTTTAAGTGCCGGGTCCCACGTTAAGTGATAACATTTCCTGAGTCTATTTCGCTCTCTCATAAGCTGTCGTATATTAAGGGGCAGTCTGAAAGCATTATCACGATTAGTAATTTCAGTACTGGCTTCCTTAATTGCACCTTGAATGCTTTCACTTAAGGCATTAATTACGGTGTTTATGCCTTGTTTGGTATTGAGATTTTGCAGTCGAGGAGGTGAATTTTTCATGATATTGCTGAAGAGATTCCAATTCGTAATTCGCTTAGTAGAGAACTCTGAAGTTTTTGTCACTCCTAATGTTGCGATTACGGGGAGGTGGTCAGAGGACAATTCATGAAATACTTCCATTGCAATGGGGATAGTCGTTGTAGTGACTGCAATGTCTAGTATATCAGAAAATTCAATTCTATTATGAAGCCGCGTGTATTCTGGTGGGGCATTTAGCGCCACCGGATGCTGTAAAATATATTCATGGAGAATTTTACCATTTAGGTTTGTTCGACGACAGTTCCAGTCTATATGCTTAGCATTAAAGTCCCCGGCAGCAAGGGTAGGTATGTCATCCGGTAGAATGCTATTTAGAAAATTATCACATAGTCTATTCGTTGGAGGGTTATACACAGCACAAAAATTGATGTTATTAAACACAGGAAGAGTGACACACACAGTAGTTTGCTCACAATTAAAATTTCTTGAATCAGATATAAGACAAGATGCATAATTACGTTTCACATATATTGCCACACCACCAGCTCTGTGTGAAAGTCTATCACAGCGGTATGAATTATAATTTGCAATTCTCAGGCGTTGGCATGGTTTTGCATGAGTCTCTGATATGATTGCAATGTCAATATCATGCTCACTTAAAGAATGGTGCAGTTCAGTAATTTTGGTGGGTAGCCCGCAGGCATTCCATATCATTATTTGTACGGGAGTACACTTTTTCATGTAATTAGCCATTAACAGGGGCTGCAGGAGTATGATCTTGAGATACGTTTGATTTTGCCATCAGAGTAAATCCAGTTTCTTTTAGAGCAGAGACAAGCATACGTAGCTCAGCTGCAACTTGTTTTGCTTCAGTTAGAAATTCAGGAGCGAGGCCGGTGTTTAAAGCTTGTGCATAAGTTTTATTATGCACTACCCGATCAGAGAACGTTTTCACAGCCGGAGTGATCCGACCACTGTCAGTGCCTCCTAGATTATAAAGCCAATGGACAGGTTGTAGAAACAAGTGTGACGTCAAAGTTAGTAGGCCCACGTGATGTTCTCGAGGTTTGGATTCTCAATTGGGAAGCCATTGCTTTGCGGTGTACATAGACTGGAATGTTAGCACGTGCTGTCGGGGAGAAGAAATACTTGGTAAGTTCGTATTTATTGAAATGTAACTTTATATTTTGTTCATTGAAATAAACGCTTGCTATTACTAATGTTGAATTAAATTAAGTATTAATTGCTTAATTATTAGTAACACACGTATACTTATTATGTTTATCTCCGTATTGATTAGCCATTATTATTATTATTAATCTTATTTCTGAATTTACTTAATATATTTTGTTTAAGTGCATCACCGAAGTTTTAATTTTATGTGTGCAGTATCTAATGTTACGTATTTTCTTTTATAAAAGTTTTTTTTATTATTTCATTACTGTTTTACGAATTTTTAACCTAATCATTTATACAAAGCTTAACAGTTTTTAAAAATGTAATTGAAAGTAAACCTATACAATAAATCTAGTTAAATTAATAATTACGTATATCAGTTAACAAACGTATGTACGCTAATATGTGAGTGTGTAGAATAATATAAATATGTATAGCTAATATGTGAGTGCATTGTATAATGAGTGTAAGTATAAGTGAGAATGGCAAACTTTTAAAGTTATGTGATCAAAGCGTTCAGTATTTGAAGAACAGTCTAGTAAAAACGTTTGTTTTATTGTGAGTTTAATTATATATTAACTTATCACTATTGAAAGATGTATTTTATGTGGTTTCTAAATTTATACTGTGTATTTGCATACAATGTATTTAAATATTAAAGCAGTAAATTCATCTTAACATTCCATAAATAGTGTTTAGTTTACCAAACAAAGTCTTTCTTCAGATTTCACGTATATATTTTACTGTTCAATATTCTAAATATTCTAAACATGATTCGCCTGAAGTTTGATATTATTTTCATTTGACTGTTTCAGCATGTTTTAAATATCAAAATTATCATCATTGATGCGAGTAATAATTTCAGTATAATAATAGATATCTTAATAGAAGCTTAGGTGTTCTTCAGATACGAATTTCTTGAAGTCTCATTCATTCAAATGTTTGAATGACATTTGAAATTCTCCACCGTTGGTTTATGGTGTATCGAATTTCAATGTATAATTATGCAAATTTAAATTGTTATAACATTTAGTATTTATATAACTGATTTTTGTACTGTTTTTACAGAAAATATGCCATTTAAATGCTGTGTAACTGGTTGTCGGGGAAATTATAAAGGTACTGAAAAGGTGCATACATTTTCCTTTCCCAAAAATGATGCTCTTAGAGAGAGGTGGCTAAGAAATATACCTAGGAAGGACTTCTCAGCAACTCCATATTCTCGGGTAGGTGTAATCCTAATTAATTTATTAAGATTCAATAAATTGTTGGTAGAATATTCTTAGTCTGCTATGGAAACTTTCTGCAAGCTATAATTTTTACCTCCCGCCAACATGTATAAATAGGTTTCAGTGTATAGTTTTCTATTTGATGAATCAACAAATTACATTTAATTTACAAACAATCAAGGGCTAATGATACTTCGAAGCTCGTTGCTGTATAAGCCATAGAATAGGCAGGAGGTCGTATGCTGTCATGATCAGATTTTTTTATATGTAGTGTTAACTGATCCTTAAATATTTGAAAAAAAATTTTAATTTGCATATATTCATTTAAAATTTAACCTGCCCAAAGCATTGCCAAAGCTTGAAGAATGTTTTTATTTATAAGGAAAGTGATTCAATCTTGCTTTACAGTTGGTTGTTTTAAGAAGTTAGTTACATGATGTCTTCCTTTTACTTAATAGGTGTGCCATAAACATTTTCAACCTGATGACCTCATCTGGGAAACATCAGCTTTCGATGAAAAAAATGGGAAAATCATTAAAGCTTCACTGCAGAGACCAAAACTAAAAGAAGGCGCTTTTCCTAGCATATTTGATGGCTGTCCATCGTATTTATCTTCACAAGCTGGTAGTTCGAGAAAAAGTCCGAATGAGAAAAAAATGGAACGAGAAGCAAACCTCATGATGAAAGCTATTGCTCATAGTAAATTATCAGCTGCTGAGTATTATAAATCGAGGACATTTTCAGACTTTAATGAACTTTTAACCTGTTGTACGCAATATAAATTTTCTACATTTTGGAACGTTGTGCACAAAGACAATATCTTGATGTTTTTGAATTTAAAATGCACTGATGGATGTGTAAAATTGCTTTATGCAGTCCACATTACTGCAGATCTTTTATTATCTGTATCGTTTCAAAATAAGTTATTGACTCATATCAGTAGTAAGTATAATGAGTTACCTATAAAAGTAAGTAATATTAATGAAATTCATGAAATACTTGATCATATTGAAATGTTAGAAACTAAAGACTTAATGAATTCGATTGAAATTATAATCAACCTGATGAAATCTTTAAGTTTCACAAATGAAGGTGATAAAATTTTATTTGAGTTCATGATTGAACAACTTTCTCTTGTAAAATGTAAGCCCCAAAATCGTCAATATTCATCCAATACCTTAATTTTAGCTTCTATGTTTTATTTGTTATCGCCCCAAGCATATAAATTTGTCCGACAATCTGGTAATTTAATTTTGCCTCATCCAAGTACTATACATAAAATAAGTTCTAAATTAAATGTAAATCCCCAAAAGGAAACAGATGATATGTTGTTTTTGGCATATGCTAAGCAAAAAGCTTGCTATCTGAAAGAGCATGAATTATATGTTTCATTAATGATGGATGAAATTCACATCAGACCTTTTCTTGACTACAAAAGTGGAGATATTGTTGGAATTGGCCAGGAAGTTGATAACTTAGCTTCTAGTGCACATGTATTTATGATACAGAGTATTTTGTGCTGCTTTAAAGATGTTGTCCATATATTACCATCGAAGAAAATGACAGCTGAAGTTTTGTTCACTGTTTTGAAAAAAATAATTGTTGGTCTTGAAGCAATAGGTTTCAAAGTAATTGTTGTTGTTAGTGACAATAATTCCATTAATAGAAGATGTATATCTCTGTTTAATAATCCATTATCAAATTTTGTATTTCCTCATCCTGTTGATGCAACTCGTCCATTGTTTTATGCAGTTGATTCTGTTCATATTATTAAAAGTGTTCGTAACAACTGGTTAAACCAGAAAAACCCTGAACAAGCTATGTATTTTCCAAATTTTGACTTGTCTTCAAATAATGTATGTACCTCTTCATTTCTTACTTTAAAAAATATGTATGAAGCTGAAAGTGGTAATTTGTTAAAATATGGATATACAATATCTCGTAAAGCTCTGTGGCCTACAAATTTAGAACGTCAAAGTGTGAAACTGGCTTTACAAATTTTCAACGATCAAACATCACAAGGCCTGAAAGAATTAGGAGTAAAGCATAATTTGTTAAATTTTCACGAAACATCTGCATATATTAAAATATTTTCGTCGTGGTTTTCAATAATGAATGTTAAAACACCAAACAAGGGGGTACATTCTTGTGATGACTTCTGTAAACCATTAGTATGGAATGAATCAGACAAGAAGTTTGTATTTTTAAATAATTTTCTTGATTGGTTGATGAAATGGAAAGAAATGAAGAGTGATACGGGTAGGTTGACAAAAGAGACACTTTCTGCTCTTATATTAACAACAACGTGTATGATAGAAATGTGTAGGTATTGTCTAGGTGAACTCAACATGTCGTATTTTTTGCCCGGTAAAATTCAGACAGATGAATTGGAACATCGTTTTAGTTTATATCGCAGGATGGCTGGAACAAATTATCATATATCACTTCGACAGGTTTTTGAAGTAGAAAACAAACTACGTGCATGTTCTGTATTAAATCTAACTATGATATCGAAAAGTAAAGGGACAATTGTTATCGATGACTTTTTCTAACTCTTTTGATTTGATTAATGATAGTTCCCATGAATCTATTGTAAAATATTTTCATAATTTCAAGCATATTAATGTCACAGATAATGATCTTGAAACTATGGTTGATAAATTACCTTTAATTGCTTACTTGGCTGGATATTGTTGCCACTCAGTTATGAATAGGCTATTCGTATTGAAAAACCACTAATAATTCCTTCCAATTTCAAACATATTCACAATTGTCATAGAGGTGGATTAAAGTACCCGTCCGCTGATGTTATTAATGTAATACTGAATATTTTACTGTCGTACAGAAGCTCATAAGCCCTAAATATGAAAAGAGTTTCCTACAAGTATCTAACCATTGTAATTTAATATCCGCTATGACATTAGAAATTCTTATGTGTAAGGAAATTAAAATTATTTCCTGTAAAAACATTTATCTGGTAAAATTATGCAATTGCTTACATACTCATGTACAAATACTCTTAACAATTATTGTAAATTCAAAAATGATAGCTTTTCTAAATATTCAGATAAAAGAAAACTAAAAACAGTTGCTGTGTAAGCATAAATAACAAAGAATATATTAGGAATGTACCAATATAATTTTTTGGCTTGGAAAATAATTTTAGTGTATTTCACTTTTTTAATTTTAATTACTCTCTAAATATGCATTAGTAAATATATTTGTAATTTGATCATTTTTGTAATTTAATTTCTTGTTTCTATATCAAAACATTAAAAATTTATGGAATTGTATTTAAATATGTTATATAAATAAATAATTTTAAAAACTTCATTTGTTGTATTATTTTATATAGGTAACAGCAATAGCAGTCCATTGCATACCAGCAATTTAGATTTATACTCATGTTTTTCACATCAAAATATTTTTTTACTTAAAATATAAACTGTATGCTTGGACGTTACTTTTAAGTAATCTTTGTGTATGTATATTATTATAAATATGTGATATATTGGAGGTTTGTACGATAAGAAAACTTAGTAGGTATTATCAGGGGAGTCAACTGAAAACCATAGTAGAAATAAAAATCCGCATACGGCGCCAGTAAGCTGTAAGTTGGCATGCCTGCTTTCTATAGTATGCCGGTTGTCTCCTAGATGGCAGCGAGATGGCTCCAAGAGGAAGCGGACGGTTCGTCATGAGCTTTTCACCCTCTCAGTTGCCGACGCCGAACGCACAGGCCGGCCCCGTAGAATCGTCTATGGACACTACAGATATCAACGATTCTCCTCCAGTGATTCCTATGGAACCTGTTGATGCGAATCTCCAAACTACTGCTAATAAGGACGAAATAATTGTTGGCAATCTGCTACTACAGATCAAACAACTCTATTCACTTAAATCGAGATTCTCTGAGCTAGAAGCCACGCTGACGAGATCCAAGCGAGCAACACCTATGTATAAATTCGACATGAAGCAAGTGGAGGCCGAGTCGCAGATAATACTGTTTTCACTTACCACGCTTGCCAAACATCTGAATCTCCCACTTGCCATCCCAAGCACAGAAGACGAGTGCTTCCAAAAATTGTTTCGCGCATGCGAAAACCCCAATGATAACGATAAGGAAATGGATTTTATCTCAAAATCTGTTAAAAAATTACCAATCTCGGATAAAAATAATAGCCAAACTAATAGTTCTGCTAAAAACCGAATTCTAAAACCAGCTAAACTTGTATTTGATCACAGGGAAACGTATGGTCAAAAATCTCCCAAAAAATCAACCAGTAACACTCCTAAAACCACTCCATCCAAAATTAAATCTGCAGTCAAGCAACCGCCTCAGAAAAAACCCAAAGTTATTGACTCTGAAGGCTTTTCAATACCATCGAAGCACTTGATTGCTAGAAAGTCAGATAAAGCAACTGAGTGAGTGAGTGAGTGAGAGATTATGGCGCAAAAACCAAAGATCATTATAGCGCGCCAAACACGAGATGGGATGATTACAATTGATGACTTAAAATTCCATAAATAAACAAGTAGACAAATGTACCAAATCCAGAGGATGAAGTCATATAAAAACAAATTAAAGGCACATATTAAAATTCAAGACACAGTCTTCAAAACAAATTACATTTGGTAATAAAAGCCAGTCTCTTTCAAATAATAAAACAAACCACAATTGACCTCTCTTCCGATTAAACGGTCGAGAGGCAAGTCACAGCTATTAAAATATTTCTGGCGAAGAGCTATTAAAACATGGACACTCAATTAAAATATGACGAACAGATAAACAAACATTACAATTTAAACAAACAGGCTCATTTTCAGCTTTTAAAAGGTAGCTATGTGTCACTCTAGTGTGACCAATTCTGAGGCGAGTCAAAAGAACTTCCTCCTTACGATTTTTGGTTAATTCCCCATGCTCAATTCTAGGTTTTACATGTCTTAACTTATTTTGAAGCTGAACATCCCAAAGTTGCTACCATTTTTTCGGATTCTTTGTTTCACAACACAACAGATGTCTGCAAAAGGGATGAGACGACACGGACAGTTCACCAGCACATTTGCTGTGATATCTGCCAGCTCATTCCCTTTATTCCCACATGCCCGGGAACCCAGCAGTACAGGATTTCATATCCACGATTCATTAAGTTTATATGTATTTTGAGAATATCCACTATTACTGGATTTTGAGTATTAGGAAAAGCTTCTAATGATTTAAGAGAATTTAAGAGAATACGAATCTGTATAAATTATAAACTTTTTGTAGCAGAGCCTTGAGATGTATAAAAGACTATAATATATCGCATTTAGTTCGAATGTTTAGACGTCTGCCCTCCATGTGGTCTTTAATTACAAATGCCATCCCGGGTGGATCTTTTGACTTGGACCCATCTGTATAAACTGGAAGATAACTGCTATATTTGTTCCTGTGCTCAGCGAAGAGTTGTCTGTAAATAATCTCATTAGTGCTTGCCTTCACATGTACTTAAAAACATCAAGAAGCTGAATCCGTGCATTTTCCCAAGGTGGGATTTCAAAATTCTGTACCTGCTTGGGGGGCATATCAGAGAGGGAAAGTTCCTCAATGACAGGGTGAACTCTTAAAAGAAATGTAGGAACACAAGATGGACGTGTTTTCAAATAACGCGTACACACATCATCAAGTAAGCAGCTTATTGGGATGTTCAGGTTGGGATAGAATATTAAAATATTGCAATAGGGACAATTGCTCACGCCTCAGGATAAAGTAATGGTTCATTGGAGTCAACATACAGGCTCTGGACATGAGAAGTCCTGAAAGCTCCTGAACAAATCCGCAGAGCTTGATGATGAACAGGATAAAATTTTAACAATACTGATGACCGAGCGGATCCGTAAACCACTGAGCCATAGTCCAGTCTAGAGCGGAACATAGCGCTCTGTAAATGCGAAGCATGGAGCAACGCTCTGCACCCCAGGAGGTGTTCGCCAATACTTTTAAAATATTTAGTGTTTTTAGACACTTCTTTCTCAGGTTTAAAACATGAGGAAGGAAAGTCAATTTCTGGTCGAACGTCACTCCTAAAAATTTTACTTCGGGGCGCAACTGGAATAATTGAACCATTGAGATATAACTCAGGTTCAGGATGGAGACCTCGCTTCCTACAAAAGTGCACGCACACAGTTTTTGTTTCGAAAAGTAAATCCCTGTTTGTTTGACCATTCTTGGATCTTATTCAGAGCTATCTGCAACTGCCTCTCTACGTATCTCATGTCTGCCCCTCGACAGCTAATCTGCAGATCATCAACATATAGAGATCCCAAGATGGTGGAAGAAAGTTCTTTTAGTACTGAGTTTATTTTTAAACTGAAAAGCATTACACTAAGAACACAGCCTTGAGGCACCCCATCTTCCTGTTGAAAAACATCCGAAAAAACAGAGCCAATTCTTACTTGAAAAGTTCTAGCGTTCAGGAAATTCTGAATGAAAATTGGTAGGTTGCCACGCAGGCCACTCTCGTGAAGATCGCGACGTATACCGTATCTCCATACCTTATCATAAGCTTTTCTCTATATCGAAGATATGAGACAAGGTGATTTCTTCTTGACAAAAGCTTTTCGAATGGATGTCTCTAAGAGGAGCATGTTATCTACGGTTGTTCTCCCCTTTCGAAAACCGCTTTGATAAGGCGATATAATATTCTTTTCCAAGAAGTAGACTAGGCGGCTGTTTACCATCTTTTCAAACAGTTTGCAAACACAACTGGTAAGAGCAATTGGCCGATAGTTCGAGGGATTCCTTGGGTCTTTCCCTGGCTTGGCAAGAGGAATGACAACAGCTCTCCTCCATGCACTGGGAAAAGTACGCTCCTTCCACTCTCTATTGTAAAGAGCGAGAAGGGCTTTCAGTGACTTATAGGACAGATGCTTTAGCATTTCGTAATTTATGCCATCAAAACCCGGAGAAGACTTATGTGTCTGAAATAAAGCTCTCTTTATTTCCACCATAGTAAATGCTCTATTGTAAGGCTCAGATTTCAAAGAGTTGAATGCGATGGGATTTATTTCCGAGTGCTGCTTGATAGTTTGAAATGCAGGTGAATAGTTTCTGCTGGAAGAAACGGCAGCAAATGTCTCACCTATAGTATTTGCAATTTGTTCTATGGAGCTAATCACTCGGCCATCTTTTTCCAAAAAGGAAAGTGAGTGGTCCTTATATATTCCGCATGCTTTTCGATCTCTTTTTTCCAAACCCGCTTACTAGGCGTAGAGGATGTAATTGATGACACATAGGAAATCCAAGAATTCCTTTGGCTCTGCCCCTTACTTTTCGTGCGTTTGCTTTGGCTCTTTTAAATGCTATGAGGTTTTCGCAGAGTAGGATATCTACGAAAAATACCCCATGCTTTTTTCTGTTTTTCAGTGCTTCATGACAATCGCGATTCCACCACGGTTTCGAATATTTCAGTATTTTTCCTGATGTTCTAGGAATGGAAAGCATAGCTGCCTCAATAATAGTATTTGTAACAACTTCAACAGCATCATCTATATGCGCATCTTCTACCATTTCATCTGTGAGCTCTGC